ACGTATCTATCGAGATATTTAATAAACAACAAATTTTACAAAGAGGTTAGAATTCCTCCTGTTCTTGCTCATTCGTTCTTTCTCTCTCTACCTTTCTGTCATTCGTTTACCATCTCTTTTCTTTTTAGTATCTAAATTTTTTCGATCTCTTTCTATCAACAGGCATACGTATACACACGTTCATAGGAATGATCTACACGATATTAAACCTTTCCCTACGAGATAACATTGAACTAACCTGCGTATCAAATATTGCAAGACAGCAGCGAGCCCTGGATCGTGCTCGATATCCATATTCCGTGAATTAATGCCTCCCATGCAGCGAACAAATAAATCTTATTTACCGTTTAAAAGCAAACAAGGAAAACGTCCAAGGGTTGATGGCGTTAGTGCAGTGACTATGACAGTTGAAACAGACGATGACAGGAACGGAGAGAGCGCGTGAGAATTTTGCGTGTAGAGGGGAGAAGAAAATGGATCGTGATATCTTGCAATATAAAAGAGTTAATTATTAAAAAAATAATAGATTAAAGTTGTGTTGTGTATCGAATAATAAGGACATATATGTTCCAAAATTCAGTGAAAGAATGAAGAATGAAAAACCGAAAAAAAACAAAACTCAAAAACGAGTGAGAAGGATGAAAGAAGAAGGCGCGCTTAAAATGTATTTAAATGTCGTTTTCAAATGTCGAAATAACGACGTTAGGAAATTAATTATAATTAATTAACTCGGAATACATCTGTGAATGCTATAAATATGAAACTTTATATGTTATAAATATATAGATATAAAATTCTGAAGACGATTAAATATGTCATATATTATCGATCATTTTAAAATCGATTTTAACAAAGAGCATAAAAATGGTAAGTAAAGAGAAAAAATAAATAAATTATGTGTATATCATTGATTCTATCGATAAAACAAAAATATTAAGTAACATAATAAACACTAAAAATAAAAAAGATTTTTATATTTTTCTTGATATAAATTTTCCATAAATTTTTTTCTTTCTATAAATTTAAAATTAAAATTACTTTATTTAAAAAATTATTTAAATTACAAATATTTTATAAAATAATTACAAATATAAATTTCTTGAAAGTGATTTAAATTACAATATCATACATTTTTTTATGCGTAAATATATATATATATATATATATATATATATATATATATGTAT